ATAAATCGGCACTGTCCAACAATTTGAAAGCCAAAACCGCATCAGGAAGAGTCATACCGTATTTCGTCGACTGATTATATCGACGTTCCTATTCTATGATGAAGTCCTCCATCGTCTGTTCGGGCAACTTTCGGTACGAGTCAAAATTAGAATACGTCTCATACGCCAAGTCGACAGTTTCTTTTTTGAACAATGAATCCAATGCTTGAATCAGAACATCCATACCTGTATCCGAATTCAGTTCAGTCACATCTATTAATTTCGAGCGCCTTCGCTCTTGCTTGATCCGACAAAGTCAGCGTAACGGCCAATGCTTGTTTCTTCTTGTCTAAGTCGGTTACCAAACGCCACACGGCAATTTCGTTTTTCCATGTTTCATACACGGTCTCCACTCCTAGCTTCGGAAGATTCGTGTAGCTTGTACTCTGTGACATCTTGTCAACCGTGCTCTGCTACCATTTAATATCTTCTATTGCCTTCTACAGTGTCCTATTACCTATTCAACCAACTTCTAAAAATTCCACCCAGACACAGTACGGTTCTAGAACATTCTCAGTCACACGGAAGTGGTAAACAAGTCGTATGCGACAAAAACAAATTCATGAGTTTCAATAAATAGATTACATGACTTACACAATGTATGTAAAATACATTTGTTTTCATGAAATTTGAAGATGCACAATGACTACTGCTAATAAAGTACGAACTCAGCAATATCGGTAAACGGTTTCATCTTTAATAGAATCCCGTTCACAGAAATACAGACTGCACAGCTCCAGAAAACACACGAAGCATGTGACTCAAAGTACTGCACATGTGCAGTTCACTACATGAAAGGTCAACCGGATGTTTTACCCCAATGCATGCTGGGAGTTTATCATACATCAAGTTAACAACTGCCCTCTATCTGTAGGTTATGAGACGATCACAGTCAATGTATGTAGAGTTGTTGCCATACAGTGGTTATGGTGGATTTGATTATGTTTTGTTTCAGTTAAGAAAAAAAGTGAGAACAAGTCATCAAAAACAGTATCAACAGTGTTGTGTTAGCTATTTATAGCCTCGGGGTGCTTCGGGTTAACTCGGGGTACTTCGTGGGGTTGACGCAGACGATGTTGTAACATTTGTTAGTTACCGATAATAAATCTGGATATTCACCATTATCCTGGAAGTGATCTGAGTTATTTGATAACAC